TTTTTGATGCTGAGGACTGAATCCAGGACTTCCAGCTTGCTAGGCAAGTTGAGCCAAATCCCCAGCCCCTAGCCAAATCCCCAACCTGTAACCTTTGCATTTAGACTGGACTTGCTCAGAATCCGCTCATGAGCCTGTGTACAGGGGATGATCAGAATATTCTGTGTGTGTTTAAATTAAGTTTATTATAGTAAATAGCACATTGTCACTAATCTCTCTCAAAATATTCCACTATAGGCTCTTTTGCTCATAATATAGGATAGGTATATTAATAAATGCACCAAATGAGTGTCTTCATGAGGTATGATTAAAAAATACAGAGAATGAGGGCCAGTGAGATAGCTCAGCAGACTAAGCCCCTGCCTGGCAAGTGCAGGGACTGGGGTTTGATGAGCCGGCCAATGAGCCGGCCACCAAGTCCAAGCAAGGGAGGTGGCGTAGGCCTGTAATCCCAGCACTAGGGAGGCTGAGACAGGAGGATCAGTACGAGTCCGAGCTGTGTAGTCAGACCCTACACCAAATATATAAAACAAAACTGAATGCTGCTGCTGAGCACCAACTAATGGGAAAGTGGGCTCATTAAAACATTACAGTGTGTCCTCATCCACCTTGTGTACCATGCGACTTCTGGCTCTTTGTCAAAGTCGAGATGACCATGAAAGATAAGCATTTTGAGTCGACTTGAGACATAGAGGAAGCCACAGCAGCACAACTAATAACATCCATGAAAAAGTACTTCCAGAACTGCTTCAGACAGTGGCGAGAACAAAGCCAGGGAAAGTGCTTTGAGGGGGATGAATAGCAATGTGTCTTTCATTGTAAAAAGAAAATAAGCATTCACTATGTTCTTTGATCATGTACCCTGTGTACATGTGTACACACACTGCTGATATCAAACTGTGTACAGATGGCGATCAGTACACGTTGACATCTGTGCAAGGGTCTTCCTGTGTACATATACATACACAGTTTGTACTGATGTCAATAGAAACAGCTGAATTTTGCCAGGTCTCGCACGGCACTGGGGAAGCCCAGATGGACAAGACAGATGCTGTCTCCTCCTTCCTGCAGCATCCCCTCTAGGTGTCTCCCCTTCAAGCTGAGGTGTCTCCCCTCCAAGCTGAGAGGAGCCTTTGTCTGAGCTTTGTAGCTGCCCACGCCCCTATGTCACCACCCTTCCCAGACACCTTTAAATTGCTGGCATCCAACTCCATCTCCTCCAGTGGGCTGAGAGCTTCTCAGGGGGAAGAACTGGTCCCCTTTGACCTCCAGAATCCCAGCTTCTGGCCTGGCCTGGAGCAGGGGCTGTTATAGCCTGAAGTGGATTGGAAGGAGGCCGGGGAGGGACTCCTTGTTCGGCTGCATGCAGCAGGTGTGTGCTGACCTCCTCCCTAGCTGCCTCTGTCCATCTTCGCAGGTAGTGACAGGCAGGTTGCCAGCAGCGAGGGAGACCTCTTCGTGCTCTTTGTGTCTGGTGGACAGGAAACGTGAGGGGCAGTAGATATGGCAGGAAGATGCTGGCCAGCAGCAGAAATGCCAAGGCAGCTGTGCATTTACATGGAATTCTGAATGTTTCCATAGTGAGCCACAGTATGTGTTTAACTTTTTTTTTTTTTTTTTTTAAATGGTGCTTGGGATGGAACGCAGGGCCTCATGCATGCCCGGCAAGCACTGCTAGTGAGCTACGTCCCTAGCTCTTTAAAAAACTTTTGTTGTACATGGCTGACACTGACAAAGGTTCTACAATCTGAGGTACAGGATCTCAAGATAAATCCTGAGGGCATTTCACTGACCTTGTCAGACCAAAAAGCTACAACTCTTGTTGCACAGGTCCTGCTTTACCTTGGTCTTAACCATCCAGTAGAAAAGTATGAAGATGAAATATAGGAAGTAAAGCCATGTTGTTATGTTGAGCTGTGGGGGACTCAGGTCAATAATTTCTGACATTGCCAGTTAAACAGAAGACCCAATGATATTATGGGCTTCTGTACTTTTTTAGAATATTTTGCTGAGTTTACACACCTATAATATTCAACAACGGAACTTAAAAAAAATTGGGGTATAACTATGAATGTCCATTTTGTATCTGTGTATTCAAAGTGGTTGGGATAGATATATAGTTGCATTCTCTTAATGAATGGAGTGATTTGTTCTAATGGTGTTTGTAGGTAGGATCACAAGTCTGCATCTTGTACAGCAATTAACCACTAGGAAGAATGTATGCAGTGTATTATTTGTTGAAACTGTACTTTCGATTTGATTTGAAACTGTCTCATTGCTATATGTTTATCAATAAAACTTTGAAAAGAAAAAAAAAAACAAAAAACTTTTGTTGTAAGGCAGGGTCTCACTAAGTTGTCCAGCCTGGGCTCAGACTTGCTCTTCTCCTGCCTCAGCTTGCCACCCTTCTGGGAAAACAGGCCTAATCCACCACACCTGGCTTGAATTTAGCTTTTTAAATAAGAAACCACTGTGGGCAGTAGATACGGCTTGCAGCACTCAGAGGTTACGCGGAAGAGGGAGAGGCTGAGGTACCTTCTTCACTGCCCCTCCTCACCTCTCCATTTCGTGCTGCTCCAGTTGCCTTCCCGACTCCTGGGGTTTTTGGGAGGCCCTGAGTCCTCGGGTTGAAGGTGTCCTCGTTTGGTAAGCTTGAAAGTGAGCTGCATTTGCCCCCTCTGGTGCAGCTGTTGGAGACCCTCAGTTGGGAGCACAGAGGGCTACAGGGACTTCCCAAGAGAGGATGCTGGACCCAGCAGGATGGCTCCTCATGGCTGCCTCTAATGTCCCCGCTGCCTTAGGACTGTTTGCAATGACTTGTTCCAATTCCCTTTTCCCCAGACACTTCTTGTGTCCCGTGGTCTACCTGGAGCATCACAGCAAATCCTCACAGTGGCCTGCAGAGCGGAGAGGCTGTTCTCATTGCACTTTCCCAGTGCTTAGACCGAGGCTGGGGGCTGCTAACAGGCTCCAGGTTGTCCCGCCAGAGTCACACAGCTGGACTGAAGCAGGTGGGGCACAGCTGCCCAGCCCTGTCCTGAGCCTCTCCCCTGGCAGGAATTGAGTCCTGGTGGCTCTCACTGAGAGTGACCACGGATGGTAGGAAAGGACGAGCAGTGAGGTCTAGATGCTCTTGGTGCCAAGAACTTGTTGGTTTGACTTTATTCCCCTCAGGTCACCACAAAATGCAGTTGGTCACTACTCTTTGACTCTGTATTCGTGAATTTGACGACTCTCCAGCTTTCGTTTATAACCCCCGAGACAGTCCTTGTGGCTCTCCCTGGCAGACATGTGCCAGAGAAGTGGACCCTTGGGCTCACCCGACATAGGCATCCTCCGCCGAGGTCAAACAAGGCGATGCTCGGCCTTCTTGGAGTTCAGCTCTCACACCGGGAGCAAGTGTTGTTTTCACGGTGCTTTTCTAGTGCCTCTGTTGCTGATTTCGCTGTTTATAATGACTCCCGTGGACCAAGCTAAGGTACTCTCTTGAGTCAAGGGAGGCTTGACTGCACCTGAAGTTGAGAATCTTTGCTGTGGTGTGAGTCATGGAGCCACCCACGAGAGCCCAGAGCTGTGGCTCAGTGTTCTGTACGAAGTAGGATGTCTTTAAGCAGGAGCACTTTGCACAGAAGTTTATGTTCTGATTGATCAGCTCGTGAAAGTGTGGTGCCCAGAGGCTCATGGGAGCCTGGCCCATCTTTCCCCTTAGGAACAGTGGTTCAGCGTTGGCCAGTGCCCTGTGTGTAGGCTTTGTGGACATCACAGCAAGCAGCAACTGGTTGTAACTGCCAAACTGTGGGGGTGGCTAAGAGGAGAGCTCAAAGCTAAGTAAGTGTGCAGTGTTGATTTCACAACCTCAGGAGTGGCCCTGCCTCTCTACTCCACCAAAGGAGCAGCACAGAGGGTCAGGAGGGGAGGGGAGAGGAGGATACCAGGGTCGCCACAGTCCTTGGGAGAGATTTGCCTCCCATCAGGAGCTGGTTGGTACTTCAAGTTAGAAAGCTGTTTAAGCATTTTATGTGTTTATTAAAAAGTAATTAAAAATTTAAAAAGAGAAGCTGGCAGCATGGTGCGTGCCTGTACTCTTAGTGGTCTAGGAAGGCTGAGGAAGGAAGATTGCAAGTTTGAGCCCACTCTGCACAACTTAGCAATTTAGGCTGTTAAAGAAAGAGGGAAAGAAGGCTGTTAAAGAAAGAAGGAAAGAAAGAAAGAAGAAAAGAAAAGAGCTAGAGATCTGGGGATGTAGCACAGGTGGAAAGGAAGGCCTGGGGCTCTATGCCTAGTACAGCAAAAAAGGTGTTGGGGTGAGGAGGAGGAGCAGGATCTCTTTCTATCGATTCTTTAGTGCCATGTCCTTAAATTTCTAGAGCTTTCTTTCTGAATAGTGAAAAGGGGAGATACCCTTGTCTAGGGTATTTTTTGGATGAAAAGATGGGGACTTGGA